GGGTGACCAGCCCCTCCCCATCCAGCCCCTCCCCACCCTCCACTCCCCACCCAGCCCCACCCTCCCCACCCAGCCCCTCCCCACCCAGCCCCTCCCTCCCCACCCAGCCCCTTCCTGCACGACGGACGGACACAATAATCCCCTGTGGGCTGGTGGAACCAGTGGGTTCCTACCAGTAATAGTTCTGTTTAGAGGGGTCTTCACGGCCATATAACTGTGGCCAAGAAGACTCGAAGTTTTGTATGTAGGGATCAGCCATATAGCTTCCACACACGTTCACCCACATTCAGTACGCATATGCCGAAGTACGCATATGCCAAAGTGCAATTTCATTTTTTTTTTATCACACCTCAATTTCTTACTTTAGGTGTAAAATTCACCTGCTAAATATGTCATTCAAATCTGTTCATATTTACAGCTTGCTGTAGATCCCCTCTTATCTGCATTGATGCCAATACTTGACTATATATTAACTGTAATGCATTTTTATCCAACTCCGCTGAACAACCGGTATTTAAACATGCAGTGTTTCAGTTTAATGAGGAGTGACCTTGAAAATATCAAACTTGAATTTTGAATGGCACCTTTTCCAACACACACAAAGATCTCCCATGTAGTACTGTTGGTGCAAGCGGTGTTAGCGCGCACCTATTTATGCCTGTGCGGCACGCATTAAATGTGTAGTGGAGCTTGCACCATGTCCAATGCCTTTGTCTTCCTAGTCCTGATGTTTACACACAACTCCAAATGTACTCTTTTAAGGCCGAGTCGACCTAGAAGATGCCCGAGACCAGTTCTGATACCACTGTGGTTAAGAGCACAGCGCTCTTAACTACTGCACTACCACTCCCTACACACATTCACAAAAGACAGATCCCAAATCTAGCATTAAGAGACTGTTGGAGCAAGTGCTGTTAGCGAGCAACGTTGAGGGCCAGACAAGGCACACGAAGGGGTGGGTGGCCAGCACCACGCCTGGCTGCCTTTGTCTCCCCAGTGTCGATGTTTACACACCGCAAGAGCTACTCGCTTAAGGCTGAGTCGACTTAGGGGAGGCCCAGGACCGGTTCAGATAATCGTCACTAATTTGGCCATGAGCGCGAATTGAACTCGGTTCGCTGGATTCATAGCGCAGCGGGCTAACCGCTACACCACTTCTCACACACATTCACACATTCACACACGCATACACGCGTTTGCACAACTCCTCTCGTCTAGTTACATAACAGAACATTATTAACCCGACCCCTCCATAGAGACTCCTTGCCTCAATAAATACGTGCGTGAACTTTTTGGCAGAAAAGTAAGAGCCACAGCGAGTTACATGTCTTGGTGGATTATTAACATGTCACATTCATTAGCATACGTGCACGTGAAAAAATAAATCACCCACTATGTGCCTGATCACATCGCATCTCACCAGCCAAGTTTGAGCCTGGATGGTGCTTGGATAGGTGACCGTCATACATAACAGGCTGCGGAGCCATGTTGTTGGGCAGAATAGGGCAGTGTAGCAAATTCCGTTATTGTACACTGACCATTGTGGTCATGTATGGTCAATACATCACAATAAACCCCCGTGTGATATAAGAAGGCCCTAATACGGCAGTGGATTGATAAAGTAACTGCACATGTACATCTCCACGTCCACATGCAACGACATAGGTCCCCTGTATAGCCAGAAAAGATTGTTCAGGAAAGTGCTTTTAGCGAGCACATATGAAGGCCAGCATGGCACACGGAGGGGTGGGTGACCAGCACTTGTGGCAATGTTTAGACATTGCACTAGGTATTAATTTGAGGCTGAGTCAACCTAAGGGAGCCCCTGTACTTGTTCAGATAATCGTAACTGGTGTTGGTCGTGAGCGGGAATCGATTTATTGCTCCGCACATATAATCACATGCACATATGCATTCATACATACGTACACACACATGGCCAAGTAGCTCATGGGCAAAAATACCGTGTCAGGGCATCCATCTGGCATTACCGCATCCTGGGTCTGATTTCAGGTGTCAGCTAACCTTGACTCCGCCGATTCCTTAAGTACATTCTATTACATTTGGCATTTCACCTAATTTAGCTTTTTCTGGCTCTAAGAGTTTAAATTTTTGGTTTGATTGACATGCAGCTGACACTCTCTGCAGGGTTTATAAAAAGTGTTGCCGTTAGTGGGGATAAAGAGGCTATTGAAGGGGGCTTGAGAAGTAGTTTTGTGACGTCATCTTCCGGGGGCCGTTCTCTGACACTGTTTGCTGTGAGAATTCCAAATGGAAACTTGTCTCATGACACGATGCTGGTAGCCGAATTAGAATCTGATCGGAGAGAAGAGAGACAAAAAAAACGCACACAAACACATCCACACAAAGATCGCCTGTTCAACCTCAAATAACTGCACTTGTTCCTACTTGCACATATACATACAATGAAGACAAATATTCCCTGTATAGCTTTAACAGGTTATTGGGGCAAGTGCTGTTGGTGAGCAACTATGAAGTCCGGCACGGCACACGAGGGGGTGGGTGGCCAGCACCACGCCCAGCTGCCTTTGTCTCCCCAGTGGCGATGTTTTTACACACCGCACCAGGTACTCAATTGAGGCTGAGTCTACCTAGGGGAAGCCTAGAAAACCGGTTAAGATAATCGTTACCAATGTTTGCCGTGAGCGGGAATTGAACCCGGGTCGCTGGATTCATAGTGCAGCGTGCTGACCGCTACACCACTCCCCACATAAACATACAAACATGCAAGACTGCAGTGAAAACATGCTATTCATGAGTACCTACCTATTAAGACTGGCATGGCACATGGTGTGGTTGTCATCATACCTGGTTCCCCCAGTGCTGATGTTTACACACCTGTTATGTGCACTCATTTATGACGGAGTCAACCTCGTGGGGAGTTGGCCCAGCACAGGTGCATACACGACTTCCTGTCGACGGTTATCCCTGACTGGGAGTTGAACCCTAGTCGCTGGATTTCCAAGGCAGCCAACGACACCATGCACAGATGATGCACTGTGGTACTGTGAATAGCTGTCGTACGCTGTGGTCTGGCAGGTCTCTTTGACTCCTACTGTGAAGGGAGGCCCGCTTGTCTTGCGTGTGTATCCGTGTGTGTGCGCGTGTGTTTGTCACGTAACACCACCATGGGGGGGGGGGGGGACCTGATACCCCGAGTTTGATTCCGGCTCATGGCCACCAACACCAGTGATGATTATCTGAACCGGTCCTGGGCCTCCCCTAGGTCGACTCGGCCTCAAATGAGTACCTAGTGCGGTGTGTAAATATCGCCACTAGGGAGACAAAGGCGGCCGTGAGTGGTGCTGGCCACCCACCCTCTCGTGTGCCGTTCCGGCCTTCATAGGTGCTCGCTAACAGCACTTGCCCCAACAGTCTGTTGAGGCTATACGGGGATCTTTGTCTTAGTCACGTAGCGATTCACCTCCTTGTCCACTGACTCAATGCATTGGCACATTTTGGGCTCGAGGTTTGATTCAAGAATACATTTCTGTTCGGTTTCACTTTACTGCATTATTTGTGTTGCCTGTCTCTTCTGCACGGGTCTGTCTTGCCTGCACTCATTAGTTTGCATTGGCTTGTCTGGTGCTGTTGTTTCTGCTGTCTGTACCCTGTATATTGTCTGGTCTGTCCGTACTGACCTGTGTTTTGTGCTGTTCGCCTGTATACAGACTCGTTAGTTCGATGTCTTCAGTTCTGCTCGGGTCGGATTTGTCCGTCTTAAGTTTTGTTGCCTCATTCGGTTCCAACCATTCGCCTACAAACTATTTGTATTGATAAAAAAAAGTAATTGATTATCGTACGCGATTAAACACGTGCATTATGAGTATAATAATAATAATGATAATTTACATTAATTCAACAATTGTTACTTGCCTGTGTTGTGGTAAGTCAGAGTGACTTATACTATGAAGGGGGGCAGGTACGGTGCATATGCTCCCACAAGTAAATCGACTGTCTGCAGAATGAGTCTGCAGGCTCAGCAGTGTGGCTATCCTGGTTAAATAACAGGCTCCCATCAGTTCTTCACAGCTTGAGTAAACCCGGGCTGCTGATGCGATTTCAGGTTTTGGTACAGTGTGTTGGATGTGCGTTTACTCGGTACTAAAGTTTGGCCCGGTTTCAAATTTTAGGGTCTAAATTTAATCACGGAAACAGTTTTTTTTCCCCCGGAACGAGCCAAGGGTGGGACGGCTTAGGGGAGGGTGTTGGTCAGTCACAACAAACCGAGGACTGTTTGTGAGCACCTATAAGGCTAGCGAGTCCAGTTGTGTGTGTGTGTGTGCACGCGCTCGTGTCTGTGTATGTTTCAGTACATATCTGCGTGTGTTACTTGTATTTGTGTACACACGTGTATATACGTGTGTTTGGTATATACAGTGTGAATATTTGTGTGCGTAGGGAGCAATTATGCATCGGCTTGTGCACAGTGCTACGAACCCTGAGAAGATTCCTGGCTAGGGACAACATTCGTGGCACACGGTTTTTGAACCTGCCCTGGACCTCCCATGAGGTGGACTCGGCCTTAGATGCATACCTGGTATGGTATGTTAAGCATCAGCACTGGGGAGACAAAGGTGGCCAGGCGCAGTGCTGCCCTCAACACCTCCTGTGTGTTGTGTTGCATTTGTTAGATGCTTGCAAACACCACTTGCCCTTTATCGTCAATACAGGCACCAGCGACGCAACCATCACACTCGTGTATACAGTACATAGAATAGTAATTACACTCATTGAGATGCATGTCCATATTCACAGCCACTATAAACATGACCACAGTCATTACGAAACTCTCTTCCCTGTGAGAAAGACCCAGACTCGGGGCTCAAACCCAGGTCCTCAGTGGTGCTGACCAATATGAACCTGCAAAGAGGGCGAGAGAAACTTAGTTCATGTTCATGGATATTTATTTTAACATTGTAATTCTTTCAACATAAATGTATTGATATTGTTGTTCAACAACATTTCCTCCCTTTCAGATTCTGGAGATTCAGACAGCCCAAAGAATGAAAATATGTCCCTGGCTGACACCGAAATTAAGACAGAAAACGGTGAGAAACGTTTAATAGATGGAAGTGTTGATGGAAAAGTCTGTGAGCTAACGGAGAAGGAACCATTCTACAATAAAGGGGGAATGTTCATTGTTTTTCTTAGGCAGGGATTTAAAAAAAAATATATTCCAATAGATTAACTCTGACATGTGTTGGAAGTCCTGTTGTTTGCGCATTAACAAAAAATGGAGAGATCTGATAGATGTAGCGAAGTCTGGAAAGATTGATAGAAATTGAGAAACATCTGGAGAAATGAGCGAGTGCATTGTGTAATCTGGAGGAAATATTGAGAATCCAGTGAAAATCTGTAGAAAAATCTGCGTTTAAATGAACAAAAGGCTGGGACAATACAAGAGAGATTTGGGGAAAAACAGGAAACAATGCAGACCTGGCTTGCAGGGCATCCCACGTTTCCATAGTTTAAAGAATCGCTTAGTAATAAAAAAAAAATGAATTATTCGGCAACCTTGGTATTCGTGCTGTTCTTGTAGTAGGGATATTCCCTAAGCCGCTGTTTAGCATAGTCTGCAGGAGTGTCACAGTAGAGGGCGATGTTGCTATGCGAAACTTCAGTTGAGTACTTTGTGAGCAATTTTTAAAAAATGTTTGGCCAAATTTTAATCAGGACTCTGGCACACAATTGCCTACTCATTTCGAGTGACGTCAGTGGATCTTGTTAACATCTACTGTGAAGGAAACGGCGTGTATTCATGGTTTGTGCACCCACATTAATAACCAGTGCAGCCTGCCTGCTTCGAACTGCAGAACCTCTGCAACAAGCGGCGATATCGGCAGCCATTTTCGGGCAACAATTTTTTTTATCATGGTAGTCTAGTGACGTGTAATGTGAACAAATGCTTTTTTCTTCATTATTGCAAAGGTAGAACCTCCGCCAATGGTACAAATTCCACATTTCCATAGTGGGGGCCAGTTCCTCAATTAGAATAACCACTGATGATGGTAGTGATGATGGTGGTGATGCTGCTGCTGATGATTTTGATACCAGTCATCAAGACGATGATGCTACTAATGCTGGGAATAACGACGATGCCTTTGCTACTGTTCATGACATTGCTGATTGTTAATGATGTTTATTATTCTCATAATCGTGTCATCTTTCCCCAAGGTATCTCTGGCTACCAGGAAAGTTTTGTGACCCTCGGAGTTTTTGGAATAAATGAACTCATACGAGTTTCCAGAGGTATTGAGACACTTGGCAACACATGGGGACACATGGGGGCATAGATTCAAATATATTATGAACAAATTAACCTGATGATGGCACATTTCCACATCATCTATTTCATCGTGAGATTTAAATCATCCCCAAATCCTGCCCATGTGTTGTGATTTGAATTTTGAAACACACACACTTGCAAATGTCTAGATAGTATACAGATTACACAGGTTACACAATCTGGCAAATAGTCTAATCTCTTTCTGTTTCTTAATTTGTCCATATAATTTATCTAACAATCTAACATGCGTTAATCACAGCTTAATATTTTGCCCTGAGAACCCGTTTCTGTCCGATGAGTTCATCATTGTTCACAGAGAATGCTGGCATGATTTTTAGAATCCTCATTGCGAACTCACTCCACGTCACAACGCTTTCAACCCCATGCCGATGCTTGCTCGCGCCCCTTCCCCTCTGCACTCACAGCACCTATCGTGAGCGGGCCGGGTGTGGCATTTGTGTCCGAGACCGAAAACTCTGCTTATTTCTCCGCCATCGGGAGACTCGGTCACGGATCTGGGTCCGGTCCAATCTCACCCGGACTCGTCAGCGCCAGGTGAGAACGCTAACTTTTGCCTCTGTTATGTACATTATTCTTGAGGGTTTAAAAGTTCCGGTGTGGCCGCGTGGCTCGCGGTTATTAACGAGTGCTCCAGAGACGCTGAGCTAATGTTGGGGGAATATACATTCCCCCTCCAAATATTGATAAAATACTTGTGCGCCCAGTAACGAATATTTGTTCCCCCAAAGGAACATGTGTTCGGGGATATTGGTTCCCTTGCTGAATATTTGTACCCCCTTATTCCTTTGTAACAAAGGGACATGAAAGTGGCTGGGGTGACACCAATGGAGGCCTTCGACAGACAGAAGTGGAGGAGGGAGACCCGGGCAGCCGACCCCATAGCAACGTGGGAACAGTGGCCGTAAGAAGAAAATTCTTTCGTAACGGAGTAATCCCAGTCCTAACCCGGGGCATATATAAATATTCGGGGGAACCAATATTTGTTTTTACAACGCAGCACCTCTGAGATATTGGGTTTGAATCCGGGTTTTTTCACATTTTGCCGATACTGTCCCTCACTCGTGTAAAGCGCCTTGAGAGATGCAGCTTTGTTTAGTCGCTGTACAAATTTAAGTTGTTGTTGTTTGTGTCAGTAAGCGCCACAAGCCCGGGGACGGTCTGGATGAGCCCGGCTCGGAGGGGGGCGGAGGGTTTTATTCTCGACACGAGGACTCGGACTGGGGCAGCCACAACGCAGAGACCAGTAACAACTACTACTACAACAGCAACAACTACAGCTTCAACAACTACAATTACAGCTACAACTCCAACACCAAATCACTACTACACCGTTCACAACAACAGTCACAACGATAACAATCACAACAATGACAACAACAACTTCTACACTGTCAGCACATCACAATAACCATGACCGCATCATCTACATTCATGATAACAACAACGACATTAACAACAACTACCACAAACACTACAACCACCACCACCACAATAACAACAACATCCACCCTCACAGCAACAGCAACTACTACAACAGCAATAACCATGACTACAACTACTCCAACCAGCAGTAGTTGTAGTCATAGTTATCCACATGTCTTGCATCATCCTTGTGCCTCCCCATATTTACCCAAGTCTCTCTGTATCTCTCCTTATCTCCATGTCTCCCTGTGTCTTCTCATCGCTGTGTCTTCCCACGTCTTTCCTTATTCCTTGTCTATTTCTGCCTCTCCAATTTTCTTTCCTCATTCCCATTTCCCATGTATGTCCATCCTTGTCCCCGTCTTTTGCCGCACCTCCCTATGTCTCTCCTTATCCTTGTGTATTTCCGTGTCTCTCCCACGCCCTCCTCAGGCTTACCAGGCCACCTGTCCCACGGGCCAGGTTTTCCTCCGCCCTCCATGTTGCAGCGTTCCTTCTTCCACCCAGCCCACCCCTGCATCCGTTACCCTGTGGATGCCATGTTGGGTGGTGGCAGTGACAACGCAGACCATGGCTCTTCCTCGCAGGTGTGGCACTCGCCCGGAGGGAGCGGTGCGCGATTCATTGAGGGCGAGTGGAATTTTAGGAGACACCTGGTGGGGGCGTGGTGGGGTTTGGGGGTGCAGGCGGGAATTACGAGACACTGAGGGAGGCCAGCAATTGAGACATTAAGGAGATTGGCAATTATGCGAGCCTGAGTGGGCTGGAATTACGAGACATGGAGGGGGGTGATTTTAACTGAGAGTGGTGCCAATTTTGAGCAACTGAAGGGGGCAGCGCATATGAGAAACTGAGAGGGCCAGTGCTTATCAGTCACTGAGCGGGGTTCGGGGGTTGCGGCTTTGGCTCGACTCTGTTTCACCAATGGTGCCGTTGCTTGCTCCTGCTGCCGTAGCCCAATGGCGGCGTAGGGAAGTCGGCTTCTGTGGCTGCCGCGGCAGCTGCAGCTTCTGCTGCAGCGGGAGCGTCTTTCCCGCCGGGGCTGCTCACGCAAGTCTCCAGCGTGACACGGCCAATCCCCCTGGTGATGTCGGCCGACAGGAAGCTGATGACGTCAGTGTCCGATGGCCGTGTGACGCCCGTTGCCACGCCAGGTACCCCACGAAGTTCACTACTCTCTCTGCCTTCTCTTTTTCGGTGTCTTCACCACATCAGGCTGTCCGGACCATTCTCTGCTGTGCTCCACTCTGTCTCTGGATGTGTTGTGCATCTGATGATCTCACGAGCTGCGTCACTTCATAGATTCCTCTTGGTCTTTTCTTCCCTTCACTTTCGCATCTATCACACTACATGCTTGCTCGTGTTCATTCCTCCAACTCCTCATCTCGCATCTTTTCCTTTTCTCCTTGTGCCTTATGGACCAGCCATCTCTATTCTATCTTCTCTGTCACTGCCCTCTTTCTCTATATATATCTTGACTGCACCAACTTCTGCACCATGCACCCCTCTGTATCTTTTTCCACTTGTTCTGTCTCTTGCCCACCTCACAAGGTCATGCTCAAGAAATCGTTACAACCTAGGCTATTGATGGCAACACACTTTGGAAACTGTTTTCCTCCTCACCACTATTTTCCATCTCTCAAGGGCTACCTCTATGTTCATTCCTCCCTATATTCTCCATTCACATTACACAGGTTCTCCTATAACGTCCCATCTCTTTCCTCTACTCCCTCTCTCTGTGCACAAACACCGTTGTGTTTTTTGTTTTTATGATCCCCTGTGCCTTGGAAATCGCCTGAGGTAAGGCGCATGTTTCTGGGCAGGAACGTTTTGAGTTTGGGGTGGTGGCATGTTGAATGATTATGAAATTTTATGAAAGCGAATGTTTTTTAAACAATATTTTATACCTGATTTAGTGCCGCTTGAAATGTCAGTGTCCTTTTATAGAAAGCAATGAGTGACCTTGATGAAGCTGTTGGTTCTCTGCATGGTCTCAATTATGTGCAATGCACTTGTCCCAAGTGATGTCCCGCACGCGCTATCTTGATATTGATCTCGGGTTGTGTTTGAAACTAAGCTACGCATCTACAATGCTTGAATCCTACCAGTTGCGCTCTATTGCTTAGAGACCTGGACACTGCTAGGGTCCAACATCAAGCATCTTGAGGCTTTTATATGTGCTGTCAGCAGTGCATTATTGGGTTCAGGTGGTCTGATTTTATCATATGTCTCTGTGACATCCTGCACTGGTTTTCCCAACAGAGAGAACCTCATCTGACACCTGCCATCTGGGCCTATTTGAGCATGTAGCTCGTCTTCAACCAGACAATCTGGCTTAGCTGCCCTGTAGTTGAGTGTCGAAATCAGATCTAGAACAAAACCCGACCTTATGTGGGTTCGCTCAAGGGGACTCCCACACTCAACCTGGTGCTCACAGATCGCCCTCGATGATGCGGACCATGCCTATCCAGGAGGTCTGGCTAGGGGTGATGTATCGCGTACACCTGAAGGAACAATCAAAACGACCCATTGATGTCTTAACGATTACTACTACTGGGTTTGGAGCACGTGGAGGGGTCTGAGTATTCGGATGATGTGGTCTTGTTTACGACCACGGGTGAGAATTCTGGCAGCAAGATTGTGGATTATCTGGAGTTTGGAAGGAATGCGTATGGTGAGGCCAAAGAGAAGATCGTTACAGTAATTAAAACGAGTTCTTATAAAGGGTTTCAGCAGCATGTTGATGCGGGAGATGTTGTGCAGATGGAGATGGGAGATCCTGCAGAGATGACAGATGTGGGAGGATTGACAACTTCAAGGTTACGGATGCTCTTTGCAAGCATGACATTAGTTGAGTAGGTTCTGACTGAGTATGGAGTATTTGCCAATGAGGATAACTTCAGATTTAGTCATATTTAACTAAAACGAGTTTGCACTAATCCAAGGCGACAATGGATCAAGGTCAGAGGTGAAATATGAGGGCAAAGGGGTCAATGGATAGGTAGGGCTAACTAGCAGCAGCATTGAAACGGTGTCAACGTTACAGATGATATTGCTGAATGGAGGGTGATCGATTGAGAAGAGCATTGAGCCTTGTGGAATCCCATCGCCACAGGGGTTTCTGAGAGGAAGATGAGACTAAAGTATGGACACTGTAAGCAGTTTGAGAGGTAAAATCAGAACCAGAGGAGAAGTGTCAATTACCTACATAGTTGAGAAGGAATTCTGGGAGTGGATTGGTCATATGGAGAATTGAGATCTAGGAGAACAAGGTGGGAGAATACACGGTCAGAAGAGAAAAAGAGGTTATTGGCCACACAGCAGAGCATTCTGTATAGAATTCACTGTAATTTGCGTTTAGATGCAGCCCCATCAAAATGCGGGCACATCTCAATATGCTGTACATAAGTAGGGCTATTTTATCACAGAAAACCATCAAGCATGTCAATATATCCATGTCTAGAACATTTTGTGTATTCGAGTGGCGAGTCAGGTAGAATGGCCTTTGAGGAAAGTAGATTGTACTGGCTCATGAAGACCATGGAAGGAATGTTGTTTAGAGAGGCAAGAGGCAGGGGAAGAAATGGCTCTTTTTTGATTCACAGAAAAAGGATGGTTTAAACCAGAAGGTAAATTTGCAGGTATGTTGGGGTCCTTTGTAGATTTGTTTCAGGACTGGAGGGATGACAGCAGTTTTGAGTGCTACTAGAAGAAATGGAAACATTAAAAAAGAAGAAATAGAAACATTTAAAAAGAAATAGAAACATTTAAAAAGCTGTTAATGTTGATAAGCAGTGATGGAAGAGTGTAGAAAGCAGAGGATTAAGGATAGAAGAATTTTATTTAGGCTGGAGAAAATGGTTATGGATGCCTTTTTTGGTTACTTCTGGGGGAAGTAGTGGAGATTATTTTTTAATCAACCTTTTCTGAGAAGTAGGAGGTAAGTGTTGGCACTTGGCACCTGATGGGGTAGTGGAGGAAGTTTGATTCGGGCATTGCAGGTGGGAGTTTACAGTGCTGAAGAGGAATTTAGGGTTTCCAGTAGGGTGTGTGATCAGAGCAGAGTAGAAGCCTGACGTTGACTTTGCCAAAGCTGGCTGATAAGATTTGTTGTGAGCCTTGCAGATCTGGTCATGAACTTCTGAACTGGGTTTTTGATTCGATTTCAGTCTCGAGGTTGTGATGGAAGGCAAAGCCAGGGGATATAGGAAGTTCTAGAAGAAGTATGAGTCTTCAGAGCGACAATATCCTTCACAGTGCTGGACATGGTAGTGTTATAATAAACAATGGCCGTGGGGTTTGGGGTCCATGAAACAGGTTTATGGGATGTTGGGAACACAGAAGTGAAGGAGAAATGAAACTCCGAACCTGAAAGGAAGTGGGCTGGATAGCACAAAAGAGAAGTCTACGAGGTTATGCCCACTAATAGCAGGCATGTGAGATGGTGGTGAGAGCGATTTAACTTAATTTTGCACATGACGGGGTTGAGTAAGTAGCTTTGAAACCAGTTAAGAGAGATCACTGCAATTCATGCGGAAATGGGAACTCGATGACAGGGAGTTTGATGGGTTGTGAACATGGATGTTGAAATAACGGCAATGGGCGGCGGGGAAGGTCGAGGCGAGGTTTGAAACGTCGGCTGTGAAGTTTGCGTTTGACTTTGGTGGACAGATTACAAAGTTTGAGAATGGAGGGCAAGTAAAGAATGATTGTCAAATGAGGTGATTTTTTTATTTTTATGGTAAAGAAACCGAAGTCCAATTCAGAGATGTTGGCAAGAGGAGTTGAGTGTGTTATATTCATAGAGGTGGTAGCCTGGGGCTACACCTTCAGGGAGTGAGTAGAGCTCAGAGAACTTGCCTCAGTGAGATAGAGGATGTCAGTCGTGCTTTCCTGCAGATTGTGAATCAGAAGTGTCTTATAATCTTACGACCAGGCATTTAGTGAAACGGAGAAGAGCTGGCTTGGTGTCTGAGAGGACTACTTGTCAATAACAACTGCCTTAAAAGGAAAATATTAAACAGGCCTCATTTAGGAGAGTAGACCTTTTTGCTAGCATATGGATAGTGATAAGGTTAAATCTTGACTTAAAGCTTTCGTGACTGCAGGGATTCATATTCTTTGGGTCTTTCGGTAAAGTTACGTAGATAACCATCATCACCTAGCCAGTGAACTGGAACATGTACACCAAGCTCTCAAGATGAATGGATATTCAGACTACATAATCCGTAAATCTATCACCCCAACCGTTGGGAAAGAACCATCGGAGAACCCAATCAAAACCATCACCTTGCCATACATTGCAGGGGTCACCAAAAAGATTTCCAAAATCATGAACAAACACAAGATCCAGGTTCGATTTAACACAGTACATTAAATTCGTGATCTGACCCCATCTGTGAAGGATTTGATCCCTGAAATGCAATACCCTGGCGTCTACAAACTAAGCCGTGTCTGCGGCAGTAGTTACATTGGAGAAGCGACATGTCTGGGACCGTGTTCGTGAACATAAGGCAGATCTGAAACACTGTAGGACCAATATTTCGGTTGTGGTTGATCATTGTTTTAATGCGGTGGGCTCACACGAAATTGTTTTCTCTAAATTTCGATTTAAAGCTTTCATGACTGCAGGGATTCATCTTCTTGGTTCTTTCGGTAAAGTCACGTAGAAGGGAAGTAATAAAATAATAAAAATAAAACATAATCAAATAAAGAAAGAACCAAGAAGATGATTTCTCTAAGACAAAGGTACTTTGCAAACCCACTGGCTATCAACAAAGATTCGTTCATGAAGCCAGCTATATATATATAGACACAGACACCATTTCAACCGAGAAGATGGGTACAAACTTGACAATCATTGGAAGGACGTTATCAACTAGTTTGTCATAACTGGCTGTGATGTTTCCTTCCTGCCACCTTCAGATGTTAATTCTGTATTTTTTCCCCGTGGCTTTGGCTCTCCGATTTCACATTAACAGGTGGAATTTCTCGCGCCAACGTGGCCACCTACGGACGACGACCTCTGCGTCGCGGTGGCTTTGCGATCTTACATGAACATACTAATCTCTCACATTAAGATAGCCACCCGCGCACTCGTCGCGGATGTCGCTCTCCGATCTGACATCAACATGCTAATTTCTTACATTAACATCACTAGCCCCGCCCACTTCGTCTATGACCCGAGGACTCCACCCTATAAAACTGTCTGCATTCAGCAGCTTTCCTCTTTCCTCCTGATGACGATCGCTTGTGTTGCGATCAAAAGGTAGTTTTTTGTTATTTTCTTTGAACCATCTACGTGACTTTACCGAAAGACCCAAAGAATAAGTTATAAGGTTGTTGAGGCACAGAGAGTAGTTATGGCATGAGCGCCGATGGGGACGCCTTGGTGTCGTGGTCAATGTGGAGTCTGGAGGCAGTAGGAATCTAGGTGTAGCTATGGGCACTCTTTGGGGGGGGTGGGGGCAAAGCAAATGGGGGTCGTGTGGGCAGTGGCATGTGGTGGGGTGGGAGTGTTGAGGGATGCAGGGCTGGTTGGCATGGTTGTGGCATAATAGTAGGGTGGTGTGTACTCCAAAAACAAAGAGAAATCCCCCTTATAGCCTTTAACAAGTGCTGTGAGCGAGCACCGATGAAGGCCGGGACAGCACGCCCAACACTGCCCCTTGTCGCCTTTGTCTCCCCAGTGCTAATGTTTTTACACACCACACCAAATCCTCATTTGAGGTGGAGTCGACTTATGGGAGGTCCCAGTACCAGATCAGATATTCATCACTGGTATTGACCATGAGCCAGAAAAAAACATCTACAGAGCATTCACATAACATGTACACATTATACGAAGAGAAAGATGCCCCCTATAGCTCATAGATCTAGACTAATTCCCCGTATAGTGTTTAATATCAATGTCTGAGGCTCGAATAGCCAGGTTAATGCTGTCTTAAAACCAAAGGCTTTCTTTGGGTTCGTGCTGTGTGTCATTGTGTTGCAGTTCTCACCATGAAACACGAGTTGTATCAGCAGTCCTCTGAGGAGTCGGCACAAGGATTTTCAAACTTCTGATAATTCAACTGCATTCAACTCCACTCCATTCCACTCAGCGAAACTTCAATTCAACTCAGCAGCGTTCAAATTCAACTCAGATTCAACATGTCCACTTAGCGCAATACAACTTGACTCCATTCAATTCCACACACATAAACTCCATTACATTCAACAAAACCCAACTTGACTCAACGCCACTCAACACAGCTCAAACCAATCCACTCAGCTTCAAATATTTCAACTCAATGTCACTTGCACTTAATCTCAATCCCACTGTCAACTGAACATAATTCAACTCGACTGAACTCGAGTCACCTCAACTCGATTTCATTCAACTTCACTCAACTTCACTTCACTCCCACTCAACTCACCTAATCTCAAATCCACTCACCTCCAGCAAAACTCAGTTCCACTCAACTCCGATTCCACTTCAGTCCTCTCCACTACACCCACGCAACTCCACTCAACGCAGATCCTCACGACTCACTAATTTCCAGTCCTCTAAAGTCGAAATTATTCAACCCCTCCAAACTCTTAAACTAAATTAAACTCTTATTAACTCAATGTCCGTGTAACTTGACTCCAAAATACCTGCACTCCATTCATATCCACTCAACTGCGTTTGAAGAAACTCAACTCCATTCAATTCGACTACACTCCACTCAACTCCACTTCCACTCCTTTACACAGCAACTTACATGGTGGAGTGCAACTCAATTACACTTAATTTGTCTTAATTCCACTAAACCCGTTCAACTCGGTTTAACTTCGTTCATCTCCCAATTCAACTTTCCTCAACTTCAAGGCCCTGTTACTCAACTCCATTGAACGCGTCTCGATTCCCTCCGGCCCCATTAAGTCTCCTGAAGCCAGTATTAGAGCGTCGGTAAAAATACTCGGAAGCGCACATGAGTGTCGAGAGAGAGTACTGGCGCTCATTTTTAAGATCCAGTATTTTTTGGAAATTCTTGGAAGCCCCTGTGGGGCGAAGGAAGAAGCTGCCTTTCGTTTCTAAGACCCTGTGTTTGTAGAAATCGTCGTAAGCCCCGCCGAAACGGCTTTTTTACAACTCGTAGGAGTAGCAGAACTTCCAAGTGTTTCTACCGGCCATTACAGAGTATGTGAATGTAATAAGACTGATGGCGGTGTAGATGTTGATCATTGATGATGATCATCATCATGGTAGTGGTGGATGTGATAAGCAATGTTTATCAATTCAGATTTGTATTGATGACTTTATTAAATGATGGTGGATGCGATGATGATTGATATGATTGTGATGACTGTTGTGGTGGCGATGCTGATGATGATAAGCATTACTTTATTATTAGTGTTATATAGTTTATATATATACACGCACTTGCAAGCTGTTATATACATATATAAAAAAAATCCTGGACAGCTCATTATAACCGATCGTTTGCTCAAAAACAAATGTAACTGCTTCACATACATAAAAGTCCAGCTCTTGTTTTACCTGGAAATATTTAAAAAGTAATATGCATACATCATACGATATTATTACGAAAAAGAGAATGTGTATTTTTGTAATACGGTGATAAAATCTGAATGTTCATATCGGGGTTGGCAAAAAAAAGGCATTTGTGGTTTTAAGTTTTAAATTGTCAAAATATATACTGTATTATATTAAAGTTATATATAACGTAACAAAATATATTTTAAAGGTTTTCTTGTGATAAGATTGTGTTTTAAAGGAAGACACAACCGAAAAGATCAGATTTTTTTCTCGCAACACGCCTAAGAGACCTTAGTTCTGTGCAGTTCTGACCCAACACGAGTCTGAATCTTCGTTTCGGGGGGGGGGGGGGGGGGTGAAAATTTATAGATAAATGTCTTTCGTCAGTGCCGTTATAGCGCGCTCTCGTGGCCTCATTGCCGTGTGAACACCGTACATTTGAACGAGACTGTCATGACACCCGACGCATGCTGGGGAGCCAGTGATACATCTGTTGCGATGCCGTGAAGCATGCTGGAAGCTGGCCATGTTAAGTCAATGAACGTTGGCTCGTGCTGGGGAATTTGAACAGAAATGTCTGTTGCTGGGCCGATTCGACAGGGTTTTCTTTGAGAAGGAATTTGGCAGTTTTATATTTACAGCAGTGGATAGAAGCTGTCACACTGCCACGTGTCAACGTTTTTGTAACAAAATGCACTTTTTTTTGTTGCGTCTTCCTTTAAGATATTAAGAAACCCCATCGACTTGATGGGTTTTTATTTTCTATATTTGAACTTAAAGTTGCGGTCACTAAGCTTACGATTAATTGAGTTTGAACATGGAATTCAGTTAATGGATTTAGATTTACTCTTCAATTTGATTAATTTTAAGAGCATTTGGGTCACTTAGGTATGTTCATTATTAATACATAATTATTTAAATCGATTTAAAATAAATCAATTCACAATCACATTGATTTTAAACAGACAACCTTGGTAATGTTGCCGTCCTTTTCATGAAACAAAACAAAGAAATACTTTGCATTTTCACTAACCAGACATATACACCTGAAAAAAAATCCTCCATGGGATGACTACAAGGAAGAACTTTACTTGCTGTCTTTTTTTTTTTAGGTGGCTGGGTGGCTCAGGGTCATAATGGCCATGTCAGAGATGCTGAGCTGGAACTGCTGAGGCCCTGGGTTCGAGACCTGGGTCTGAGTCTCTCTCATCAACCCTCTACACTTGGGAACCTGGTTTAATAGAGGTAGACTGAAGCTCACATTTTAATTCCAGGATCTCAGTGTTTTTGACAGCCATTATGAACCCGATTCCACTGATATTAAGCCCCTGATATTGACGCGCAGACCTTTAATTCGGGATCGTCAGTGCTGGCTTAGTATCTCTGATGTATCACTGTAAGAACATTTTTGTTGGTAATCAACAGTCGATTGTGGATTTGGGTTGTTACTAAATTTATATTTTAAACCTGGTTGAAAATTTGTAACTAAGTTTAAACAACAATTCTTCAATAAACTAGGCTTTTAACTGCGCTCCGTTACTGGTTTTTGCAATCGTATAAGGAAATGCAGTGAACGTAACTCCAAGAATATGTTGAACTACATGAGCATTTTTTTCAACATCGCTGACATTTATTATTGGTAAATTGTCGATTTTTAAAACTCATAAAAAGACTTTTCAGCTTTTTGTATTTTAAGCATTATAAATGTGCAAAGGGTTTCAACTTTCTTGTTCATGTACCTTGGTTTTAACAACAATAAAACATTTATGAAATGAGTTTTACACGTGTGCTCCAGCAGCTTAATTGTTTCAGAGTGCCAGACTAAGGCTCATTTTAGGGTTCACTGGCCTAAGGAATTAAGATCACAATCAGGCACAAGTTTTATTTTAGTTCAATGGCACCCTTAGGTTTTGGTCTTAATGTGCAATGTGCAGTGTTCCTTGGAGTTGTGTGTTCAGACTCAGGCCCCTTCAATTTGCATTTGTAATTGACTAGGCTCAATGCCAGTCTTAAGGCCATTTTATAGTTCAGTGGTAATATAAAAGGCTGATCGGGCAGGACAAAAGTTCCATGAAAGTTCTGAATTTAGCTTATGTTTTCCACGTGACCTTAAGACAGGAAGTGAAAATGTTGATAAAAAGTAACAACTCAAATAAACGATACGTAAAAAACTAATGAAAAAAGAGGGAATGGGTAAATTATTAAATATAGGGCATAGTTTCACTAAAATGGCATGTGCATGAATTAAGGGTTCCTGTAGCAGATCTCGTGCCAGTGCACAGCCAGGGACAATGCGCACGAGTTTACTCCTCAGTCGCAGTGATCTGTAGCACAGAAAACCGTGACACATGAGGCTGTTGCAGTGTCACGCAGTAGCCTGTCAGTGTCACACAGTTCGCTGTCACGCACAGCCCCAGTGATTCTCCTCTGGCACGCAGAGCCCCTGGCCACAGCGGAAGCGGTTGAGTTGCACCCACAGACATGGCGGCGGATCAAAGCTGGGCGGGTGGTTGGAGCGGGTCGCTGTCAAGGTGCTAGTTTGGTGCATTCCTGCGCTGCCATTCTTCGCCCCAGGCGGTGTGGCCATCCAGTGATGTCAGTGCACAGCAGTGTGGCCACATCCACACCGGGCACTGGGGAGACGAGACGCATTGGAAGTGCAATTTAAGATGTCGATGTGCAGCATCGAGTTTTAAGCACCGCCAGTGGCAGAGTCTGGTTGGCATGGAGTCCGATGCAAGGAATTAAATGATTTCCTTTTCCATCTAATGCCCCCCCTCCCCACCACCTCTTTCATCGCCTGGTGCCTGGACATCTCCAACTCAAGGGTCCCTGTGCAATTCCACCGGCTGCACACGCAAGAGCTACACGACTGTGCTCCATGTACTTCAAGAGCGTGTCTGTGGTGGGTTGGTGTTGGAACCGTACTTGTCACCACTGGCAGCCATGGTATCGATGGTGACCTCTAACAGACGAGAGATTCTTCTCATGGGTGCAGTTCAGCAGTGTCAGTTGACCGTGACCACAGGCACACAGAAATTACGAAACGCTGCTGCAGACTAATTCAGTGCGAAGGCTGCCACGTGCACTGTACCTACCCTGGAACTTCACGTTGAGCTTGCCAGCCAAGCAAGGAGATGATATTTACATAACAATGCCTGTGTCACATAGAGCCACATTAAGGCTTTCTTTGGGTTTAATGTTAATTTCTGAGACTCGGAGCCAGACTTAACATCTCTTAGAGTTCATTGTTAATGCCTCAGGCTTTTAGAGGCAGACGGAAGCTCCTCTTGAGTTCAGTGGGGCACTTTGGAGGTGAGATGTTAACTACCTCGCCTGGTATACATGAGGTTGTGGGTTCGATCCCGACCCTGACGGTTGCTGTATATTTGGAGTTTGCATGTTCTCTCTGTGGTCACGTATCTTTTTCTCCGGGTCCTCTGGTTTTTCCCTCCATATTTTGAAACATTCGTTTCGAGTATTTAGCTGCTATACTTTTGCACGTGATAAGCCACTACATTGGGCTATCATTTGTGGCCAGGTCGCTTCTGAAAAAGAGTTATATAGTTCAGTGGGCCTTACTTGGTAAAATAAAAAGTGTAGTTTAAGTTTAGTGTTAATCATTGTTTAAAGGCTCTGTTAGGGTTGTGACAATGCTTGAGGTTTAAAGAGCCCTGACTAAAATTATTTGGTTGTGTATAGCATCGTCGTCCATGCAAATTGCATCTCACAATCTATTAAGGAACCACAGACTAAGCTGGAAGGCAGCAAGCCAAGAGGTGAACCAGTGCTACGAACAATTAAGATTTTTCAGTCAAATGTAGTGTGTATTCATCAGGATAAAACGCACCCGTGGCAGGGGGCAACACTATGCCATATAGGACAGATGTAGATAAAGTATGTGTGATGCCGCCGCCACGAAGCCGTTCGGCAGGCACCAAATCCCCGACCTCGCCACCACCAAGCAACGGAGCCGACCCCGCGTCTCCCTCACCTCACCTCACATGAACACACCCGCACTCATTTCCCCCCCCCATAGAGCTCCGAGGGGAGGTCGCCTGGCCGACCGGTTTTTATCCGAGAGACCCTTATCGGGATTAATTCTCACGGTTTCCGGCGATCAGGGAATTGGATGACCTCCCCCGTGCTACGTGGCACCGCGGCGCTGCGGCCGGCCTTAATATGGTGTGGTCGCGGCGTGGGGCATTCGGCCACCGCGGTTGAGGCGCATTTCCCCCCACACACACTCCCACGGGTCGACGGGGCAAGCAGGGGAGGCACGGGACAGCATGAATAGCGGGGTCACAGGGGCTGTTGCGCATAGTCATGGAGGGTTGGGATAATTGCGCTTGAGCGCGCAGGCCCCATTGTTAGGAAGGGTAAGGGAGTAATTAGGATGTACGCCGCCAACGTCGCGCACTGATTAGCATATCAACAGCGCCCGGGAACCGCCGTGCGCGGGCTTGGGGTGCACGAGCCCATTGTTCAGCGCAGCATCCCCTTTGAGGTAGGGAGGATAAATAGAGGAGCGGAGAGGGGAAATCGCCCCTTCTCTCCAGGCCAGCGGACCAGCAGGAGTTCCAGCCAGCGACCCGGACGTCCGTGCGACGCATCGAGGTACGCTGTTAGCGCAGAGAGCAGCGAACCTCCGCGGGCACCAAACAGTGAGTGGGGAGGTGAAGTAGGGTATCGTAAGCCGATAAATAGGGAATAGGTACAGGTTTAGTGGAATAGGCCAGCCTCGTCGACTCACTGATTCAACATCAATTCGCAGGTGGCATATAATAAATCATTAATAGCGAAGCGTGGTCTCGCGTGATCTTGTCGTGCAGTGTGAGCGTGTGGGTGCGCTGTGTGCACAGTGGTTCGCCACGTGAGTGAGCGCTGCGCGGAGCTGAGCGCGCGGGTTGCGCGTGGGTACGCAGTGATTCTGTGGTGCTGCGGCTCGCCTCGGGGGAGCGCTGCGCAGAGCGGTGCGAGAGTGGGTGTCGCGTGTGTTCACTCCGTGTGTGATACAGGTGCGCGAGTATAACGTGAGTTGAGTTGGAGTGCGCGGAGCGGCGTGTGTGTGGGCGTGCGTGCGTTCGCTCCGCGTGGGTTGCAGGCGCGCGATTAGGAAAGGGAAGTATCGTAGTAGAGAGGGGCAGAATACTAATCGGTAATTAACCATGCCCATTACGCGGACCCGCGGTGGAGGGGAATCCGCGGGCGACGGCTCCCACACCATAGGTGAGGAACTTAGCAGCGGTTCGCTTAGCAGCGGGGGGGGCGATTGATGATGCTAGCCCGGCCGTTAGCATTATCGAGGGAGGGATCTCGGGGGCTAGCGACCCCCACAAATGCACTTTGCTGCACGGTATTGTATCGCCTTTCTCCTGGCAAGCCAGGGTATAGAAATATTCCATCTCCACGGGGAGGTCCGCTACAGTTGCGTCATCAACCAACCCTGGGCAGTGCCACGTGCACGGAAAGCCACTACTACCGCCACCACCGCCCGGCTCTGCAGCATTCAGACCCAAGTGTAAATGCCTCAAGAAGTTCAAAGTGTCAGAACTAAAGCTCCCCGGTATGGTTCAAAGTCAATGGCCCCAGGGCTTCTTCTGAGGGTAAACGCGCCGCCTTGACGCAGATGTGGTCCCGTCTGATCTAAAGGGAGACAATGAGAGGCCGTGGGCCACAATGGGCGAGTTAACAATAGGAGGTTGACCTATGTTTAGACGGCGTGTGGCGTTTGACAAATGACGCGGGCGTCACGCGATGATTTTTATGGTTACAAAGGGAGACCAGAAAAAAAAGTCGCTTCTCTTGTTGGTTGCTTGCTGCTGCTTGCTACTGTGTGTCAGTGTGGTTGTTGCTACTGTGTGTCAGTGTGTGTGTGTGGTTGCATATGGCAGTCGCCCTCCAGCAACAACGAAGGGCAGAGGAGCGACGCTCACAACAACGAGCGGAGCGCCGGGCGGCTACAATGCAGCAAGTTGACCCTTGTCATCTCAGTCAGCCAACCCATGGCACCGGGCTGGGTCTGTCCCGAGACCTCCTGCACCTAGCCTGGCACAGTCAGGGGCACAGCTGGTGGTGGATCTACCAGCAGTCATCTCAGTCAGCCAACCCATGGCACCGGCTGGGTCTGTCCCGAGACCTGCACCTAGCCTGGCACAGTAGGGGGCACAGCTGGTGGTGCATCTACCAGCAGTCATCTCAGTCAGCCAACCCATGGCACCAGGCTGGGTGTCACGAGACCTGCACCTAGCCTGGCACAGCTGGTGGTGCATCTACCGGTCATCTCAGTCAGCCAACCCATGGCACCTGCTGGGTCTGTCCCGAGACCTGCACCTAGCCTGGCACAGTAGGGGGCACAGCTGGTGGTGCATCTACTGGTCATCTCAGTCAGCCAACCCATGGCACCAGGCTGGGTGTCACGAGACCTGCACCTAGCCTGGCACAGCTGGTGGTACATCTACCAGCAGTCATCTCAGTCAGCCAACCCATGGCACCGGGCTGGGTCTGTCCCGAGACCTGCACCTAGCCTGGCACAGCTGGTGGTGAATCTACCGGTCATCTCAGTCAGCCAACCCATGGCACCAGGCTGGGTGTCACGAGACCTGCACCTAGCCTGGCACAGCTGGTGGTACATCTACCAGCAGTCATCTCAGTCAGCCAACCCATGGCACCGGGCTGGGTCTGTCCCGAGACCTGCACCTAGCCTGGCACAGCTGGTGGTGAATCTACCGGTCATCTCAGTCAGCCAACCCATGGCACCAGGCTGGGTGTCACGA